TAAAGACCTCACATTTGGGCCACTAACCCAACCCCAGACTCCAATGAGTCGCAGCAGTTTTCAAGACAATCTGAGGCCTTGTTTATGCTGGCAAGTTTCTGCGCAGTAAAGCAGCTTTGAGAGCTGTAACTCCCGAGGTGTACACACTGCCAAGCCACTTTGTGCGCAGAAACTGCGCAGTTGAAGTGCTGTAAAACAACCACCCCGACAAGAGGCGTACAGCTTTCTGTGCCGGGGCTACAACACCGCAGTGCCAGCGCAGACACATTGGTGGATTACAATGCTGTAATTTGCATCCAGGAGGTGTCCCACACGCCTGTTCTCGCCTTTCTGGTCATCGATTAGAACTCTACTGCCCTGCCCTCAGGTGACCAACCTTCAGCCCTATCCTTTAAATTCCTTGGGAATTTTGAAAGTCCCCTTCCTGTTTGCTCGGCATGCGGTGGTCTCAGCGCATCTTTCCAGGTGACCATGGCTGCTCCACACACCAGGCAATCCCCCGCTTGGAGCAATGATGAGCTGCTGGACCTCATCAGCGTTATAGAATATCAGGGTTGGAAGGGACCTCAGGAGGTCATCTAGTCCAACCCCCTGCTCGAAGCAGGACCAATCCCCAGACAGATTTTTGTCCCAGATCCCTAAATGGCCCCCTCAAGGATTGAACTCACAACCCTGGGTTTAGCAGGCCAATGCTCAAACCACTGAGCTATCCCTCCTGCTCTAGCGTTTGGGGAGAGGAGGCTGTCCAGTCCCAGCTGTGCTCCAGCCATAGGAATTATGATATCTTCAGACAGATTTCATGACGCATGACAGAAAGGGGCCATGACCGGGACACATTGCAGTGCAGGGTCAAAGTGAAGGAGCTGTGGAATGCCTACCACAAGGAGCGGGAGGCAAACTGCCACTCTGGTTCTGTGCCCACGAGCTGCCAGTTCTACAAAGAGCTGGACGTGATACTCGGTGGCGACCCCACCTCCACTGCAAAGAGCCCCATGGATACTTCAGGGGCTTCCGTGCCTGTCAAGAGTGGACTGAGCCAGGAGGAGGAAATCTTGGACAAGGCTGTGGAGAGGGAGGTGGACCCAGAGCCAGAGGATGACTTGTTCAGAGGTGCATACAGCCAGGAGCTCTTGTGTACCCTGGAGGTGGCTAGCCAGTCACAGCGTTCAGAGCTTGGCGAAGCAGGAACAGGAGATGAGGCCCCTGGTAAGTGGCTTTGATTTTGGGAATCACTGAAGCGAGCTGTTGGGGGGAGGAGGGTTGCAAAAGGCCGGCTTGTTTCTGTGTGCTGAGCTTGCCGGAGGGATTTGCAGAAGGCTGCCTTGTATCTGTGCAATGCGCGTACCACCACATGCCTAGGCAGAGCGGCGGAACAGGGTGTTGATGGACTCCCTCACTTCACGGGAATCTGCCTCAGAGATCTCCACGAAACTCTCGTGGAGATACTGGGCAATCGGCTGCCACGGGTTCTTTGGCAGAGCTGCTTTGTTTCTTGCCCCACTAAGGGCAGAGGTGAAAGTAAGCGGGTCCGGTCCAGTACAGCGTACCAGCAAGAGTCAGTACGCCATGCCAGACCGCAGCGGCTTCTGCGGTGCGGATTTAAAGGGCTCTGGGCTCCCCACAGTGGCGGGGAGCTCCAAGCCCTTTAAATCCGGGCCCCAGCCCAGCTGCCGGAGCTGGCGGGGTGGGGAGGGGGATTTAAAGAGCTCGGGACTTCCCACCACAGCAGAAAGCCCAGAGCCCTTTAAATCCCGCCCGCAGCTCAGCGGCTGGGCTGGGGCTGGGATTTGAAGGGTCCAGAGCTCCGCGGCAGCCGGAGCCCCGGGGGCTCCCAGCCACCTATGCAGCTGGGAGCCCTGGGATGATTTAAAGGCCCTGGGGCTCCCAGCCACAGCTGGTGCCCCAGGGACTTTAAATCTTGAGAGGCCCCGCCTCTTCCGGATGAGGCCACGCCCCCCTCAGGACTGGTAAATCCTGTAAGTTACTTTCACCTCTGACTAAGGGTAACATTCCCCTGCCACTCAGCCATCACTGGGGGGTGGTGGGGGGGGGACCATTGCTGCACACAGGCTAGCTGCATAAAGGCCTGGGTGGAAGCTGCATTCCTTGAGATGAGCCTCCCTTGATTCCCCGGTCACCCTCAGCAGCGAGATATCTTCCATAATGAGCACAGCCTGTGGAAAGTGTGGGGAGAGGAACAATGATCAGCCCCCGCCTACAGTGCTGGCTCTCCCCAAGAGCCACGTGCCCAGTGTACAGCAGGGTCCGGGAGCAGTGATTTTACCCTGCCCCTGTGGCTACTCACCATTTTGGGGGTCTTCTGGCTCATGTGTGCTTGCCTGGGGTCAGCCAGTTAGTGACAGGTGTGTGAGTACTGGTTGTGTTTTAAAACACTGATTCAGTGGTCTCTGTGTTGTAAACAATAGTGTCTGTAAAATGCTTCATTTTGGCTTCACAAATCTGATCTTGGGAGCCCAGCCTCCCTCTTTTTTATCACAGGCTGAACGGCTGCGCAGGATTAGAAAGCAGCCATGAAAAAGTAGAGAGGATCTTCTGCGTGATGTCATGCTGCACTCCGCAGCCGAAAAACAAGAGTCGAATGAGTGGTAGGACAGCAAGAAGAGGGACCAAAAGGAGAATGCAGTGTGCCAGAATGAATCTACAGAGCGGCTCTTAAAGATTAGGGAGTGCCAAGTGGACACGCTCCAGACACTCCCAGCACTGAAAACTGAGCAGCTCCGGCCCACCCCCCTCTGCGGCCGCTGTTGCAAAACTCTTTCCCATGCACCACCCCGACCCACACACACACACACACACGCACAGTCCAGCTCTGTGGACTCCCAGTACCTACTGCACTCGACACCCGTTCCTCTGCAGTTTACCCTGCTGAAGCACAGTACCCACTGCACAGTACTCCAAAGGACAAGGGTGCATATGACACCTGGACATACACAAATCTTTAACCATCTTGGGACCCCACCTCCCCCTGGGAACCTCCCTTCCACCATCCCCCTCACTGCTGATTTTGTGTGTGTGTGTGTGTCTCCTCCGGTTGTTGTTTTTTAATAAAAGATTTGTTTTGGTTTGAAAGCGACCTTTATTACATTAACTGAATGCAAACATAGCCCTGCAAAGCAACAGGCCATTTTCTTAAACCTTCACAGTGCATCATCCGCACCAACATAATCACCTTCTAGCATTACAAGCACTGCACTCCTGAGCGTAGAAACAAATATTAGTGGCTTTCAGCTTCAAATGGCTGCCTCAAGGCATCTCTGATCCTTATGGCCTCGCACTGTGCCCCTCTAATAGCCCTGGTCTCTGGCTGTTCAAAGTCAGCATCCAGGTGCTGAGACTCAACGGTCCAGCCCCGAGTGAAGCTTTCAGCCTTCCCTTCACAAATATTATGGACCGTTCAGCACGTGGAAATAACCATAGGGATATTGTCATTGGCCAGGTCCAGCCTCCCATATAGGCAGTGCCAGTGGGCCTTTAAATGATCAAGAGCACACTCAACAGTCATTCTGTACATGCTGAGCCTGTTGTTGAACCACTCCTTGCTGCTGTCAAGGTTTCCCGTTTATGGCTTCATAAGCCACAGCTTTACGGGGTAGGTGGGGTCTCCCAGGATCACAATGGGCATTTCGACTTCCCCTACAGTGATCTTCTGGTCTGGGTAGAAAGTTCCTGTTTCCAGCTTCCTGAACAGGCCAGTGTTCTGAAAGTTGCATGCGTCATGCACCTTTCTGGACCAGCCTGCTTTAATGTCCATGAAACACCCATGGCGATCCACAAGCGCCTGGAGAACCATAAAGAAATACCCGTTGCTATTAATGTACTCGGTGACTAGGTGGGCTGGTGCCAGAATTGGAATATGAGTGCCATCTATCTCCCCTCCGCAGTTAGGGAAGCCCATTTGTGCAAAGCCAATCACAATGTCGCGCACGTTGCCCAGAGTCCACGGTCTTAGGCAGCAGAATGCGATTAATGGCCCTCCACACTTCCATCAACACGAGTCCAACGGTTGACTTTCCCACTCTGAACTGGTTAGCGAACGATTGGTAGATGTCTGGAGTTGCCAGCTTCCACAGTGCAATCGCCACACACTTCTCCAACAACAGGGCAGCTCTCATTTGTGTGTCCCTGTGCCACAGAGCTGGTGCGAAGGCATCACACAGTTCCATGAGAGTGGCTTTCCTCATTCGAAAGATTTGCAGCCACTTCTCATCATCCCAGATGGGCATGACGATACGATTCCACCACTCAGTGCTTATTTCCTGAGCCCAAAACCAGCGTTCCACTGTAGTTAGCACCTCCGTGAATGCCACAAGCAATCTCATGTCATAGCTCTTGCGTGGTGAGATCAATGTTAGACATGTCTTGCCTTTGTAGTTTAAGGAACAACCTCACTGCCACTCGTGACGTGTTAGTCAGAGCGAGCAGCATATTGGTCAATAGTGCGGGATCCATTCCTGCAGACTGAAGAGGCAGAACGCACACTATGCAAACCGTTGAAAGATGGTGCCAAATGCGGATGGAAGCACAGGGATTGCTGGGATGCAAAGCAATGCATCATAGGGCATTGGGACAGGGCCCAGGATGCCTTGCAACCCCCTCTGCCTTCCCACAACACTTAGCGGCGGAAGAGGAAGACGTGCTCTGTGGGATAGCTGCTGAATGACGATGCAAATGCCGCAAGTGTGAGCAGGCTATTGCACAGGCAGCTGACAGTGTGAACACACAACAGCGGTTTCCCTTTAGCACTCGCTGAGCGGCGTTGGAACTGCCGGTGAAGAAAGTCTGCCACTGTAGACACACCGTGAGCATGCGTCTGGGTTTTAGAGAACTTAGAAAAAATGGATATTACACAGCAAACTAGACTCAACTTTATCCAGAGCAGAGCTGCTGCCCCACTATAATGAGAAAAACTGTGTCATCTCACAATGAACCCTCTGACTCCACTTATTACCCTGTTGAAGACATTAAAACATCAGAAGAAGTTACTGACCTGCTACCTGTAGTTCCAATATAGCATCTTCATAAGAGACACTGGACTGAAAAAAACACTTGTACTGCCCATTGTCGGAGGGTCGGATATCTCGTATTCTCAGGGAAACTCTCCCATTGGTGATGTCGTCTCTTAAGAGCTCAGTTCTTTCTCGATATTCCGGCATCTGCTGTCCGTACTGATCCTGCCCATCATGGTACAGGTGCACAACTGCAGAGAACTGGGATCGGAACCATCTCACCTCCATGTTCTCAGCGCTCATCCTGGGGGAGAGGTGGCAGGGCAGGATGGCCTCCCCACCTAGGGAGGCAATGACTGGATGGTCAGGTCCAGCCACTCTGAACTGTGCTGTGAAATGTACAATGAAAAAAGGAAATTAAATCGGCGAGGGGCTGGGGCATGATGTTAATTCAGCAGTAAGACACACAGTAAGAGAGCGCCCTGCATTACCGTAGAAGTGAGACCATTTAAAGACAAAAGCCTGATAGAGAAAACTTACCATAAACCAATCAAAGGTCTGAACACACGTTACACTTATCCCAAAGAATTCTCATCTGGCACATGGGACTCTTCGGTAGGTTCCAAAGTCTTTCAAACCTTTCTCTAAGGGTTTGTACTCTTGGTTAACAGGTCCTGTCACTTTGCAGCCCAAGATCTCGGGCCTCTGGTCAGTTCAAAGCCAACTTTTATACCAAAAATCTTTGTTCTCTTGGGCTTCTGGGACCTGGTCTAACCCAGTTTATGTAATTCTCCCTAGGAGTGGTACTTCTCTGGAGCTGTTACCTGTCCCACAAGTAATTACCCCCCCAGGCTTTGCAAATTCTGAAGGAGATGGGGTAACCCTCCCCCATGGCATAGATTACCATCCCAATCCCACAAAGATACATATAACATGTATAGATACCATTGATAAAGGGGGTACACAAATAAACAGAACATGCATAAAGTGAATTTGATAGTCCCCAAAATGCTGCATGTGGCTGCAATATCTGTCACACAGAGTTCACACGAGTGTTCTACACTGTCCCTATTATCTCTGAATAAAGCTCTAACTTCTCATAGGCACCCTGGGGATAATGATACTGGGGGCCTGGTTCTCTGATACACCAAGGCCTTTTCGTGCTGCTCCAGCACAGGGGCCTTCTCATCTGCAGGAGGGGTGGTGTAAAGGCTGACAAGGTGTAAAGATATGAAAATAGGTCATCGCTATGCGGGCAATGGCTATAAAGGTAAAGTCAGGGGTCAGATAATGGAGAGGGAGAAGGAGGCAGATAGAAAAGTGCAAGAAACAGAGAATCGGTCACTGTGGAACTGCACAGGATGTGGGGGTCTCAGTGCAGATACTCAGCATCAGGAGAGACAGAGAGAGCTGGTTAAATTAACAGGATGGAAACCACAGCAGGAGGGAACCAAAATGCCCGAGTAGCTGTGGAGCCAGCCCCGGGGGTGGAGTGGGTCACTATCAGGGCTTCACTGAAGGCACAGAATGAAGAAGCCAGCAAATATCCTCACATCCTCACTGTGAGATGAGGTCTAGCTCTGAGCCCTAGTCAGATGTGCCTAGTGCAGCATGAATGACTTGTGGGTTGTTACGTCTAAACTGGAGAGTCTAGGATTCAGGACTCCTTCGTGGCTGAAGAGTCTGATTTGTGACGTATTTGGTCTGTTAGTGCAGTGTATAGGAATTGGATAGTGTCCTTTTAAATAGTTTGCGAGCCCTGTAGTGGTGCTCACTGTGTTCTGTGTTTTAGAAACTGCCAGAAATCAGCCAGAGCAGTAGGATGGATGTAGTGTCAAGGCCTGACAAGATGGTGTATAGATAGTAACCATGGTTACTGGGGACCCAGGTGTAGCCTGTGATTTCTCCATGTTGCTGGTTGTTGGCAGGTTGATCAGATGTGATTTACAAGACAAGGCAGTGATGTGAGGTGGATGGTGATGACCGGCCATAGCAACAGCAACAAACCCAGTGAGGAGGCCAGAGCTCCTACCTGACACCAGCCTGTGAACCTGTAGAGTGAGGCAGAGAGCGATGTAGCCGGGAAGAGCGGAGCTCACTGTGGAACCGGGGGAGAACGAGGGAACCTTCCCCATCATCGTAGCTTGGTCTGGGGAACAGGAGACATAACAAACCAGACAGCGAGTGAGTGGGATGCAGTGACAGTGCCAGGTTGTCTGACTTTCATAGCCCTGGTCCATGGATCAGTTATTATGTTTACATTAGCTCACCTCCAAATATTCATAGACTAATGTCAGAGGGGACCATTAGATCATCTAGTCTGATCTGTGCCACAGGCCAAAGATTATCACCCATTTACCCCTGTACTAAGCCCAAACTTGTGTTTGACTGAAGCATCTTCCAGAAAGTCACCAAGTCTTTATCTGAAGACAGCAAGAGATGGACAATTCACCACTTCCCTTGGTAGTTTGCTCCAGTGATTAATCACCCTCATGGTTACAATTCTGTGCCTTAATTCTAATTAGAATTTGTCCAGTTTTAATTTCCACCCATTGGTTCTTGTTATGCCTTTCTCCACTGTATTAAAGAGCCCTTTAGTACCATGTATTTTCTTCATGAAGGTGTGACAGGTGGGGAATTTTACTGAAATATTTTTATGAACAATTGGTAGGACTCTGTACCAATCCCCTTGGCATCGCTGCTGGTTTGGGGGAAAGAATTGCTTCTCTCGCTGGGACATGGCTGAACAGGCTAGGTATCTGAGATGTAGAGCCACTCGGACTGTCTGGGCTGGAATCAACATATCAGTGGAGGATCTTGAAAAGACAATGGGAAGCCTCAATGATTAAGCATCAACTCCTACACCAAGTTTCTTCCCCCCACCTCTCTGCAGGGAAGAGGAACAATAGTAGCCTGGAGCTGGAGAGCAAAGGGCGAAGGTGTCAGGTGTCTGTGTTAAAGGACTGGGCTGACAGAGACACAGGAACTCACCTGGGACTCAGAGATAAAAAAGGGACAGGGAGAGAGGGAGCCAAGCGGGATCCTCCAGCAGCAGGGCTCGGCAGAGCCCCAGCTCTGGCCAGGCTGAACCCTCTCTTAAACTTTGCTTCTCTGTGCTGATCTAAGGACTTTCAGACTCTATAGGCCAGGTGACTAACACATTGTTACTTGGTGTGGAAAAGGTGCCTGGTGTCACTGCAGATAGTCACTGAGAACACTGAGGCCTGAAGGGGTAGAATAAGTCTCTTGCAGGAGTCTGGCTTGTTGGACTTGCTGCAGGGAGCCATGGAGAAAGCCAGCGGTCGCTGGTGCTCAAAGGCCCAGTTTCTGAGTCACTGAAGCCATGGACTTGCCTCTGTGGAATTGTGTGGATCGTGGGGTCCAGCACAATCAAGGGGTCACTCCCAAGGGCCTGGCTGAAGGCCAGGGCACAGACCAGGCCTTGTGAATCCATGACAGAAAGTCACCTCTCACTCTTCTCTTTGCTAAACTGAACAGATCCATCTCCTTCCGTCCCCTACTGTGAGGCCTTTGCTCCAGCCCCCAAATCATGTTTGTGACCCTTTTCTGCAGCATCTGTGATAGTCTGGGGTGCAATGCAGACCTGTAAGGGGTTGCTCCATCGCCTGTCATCCCCTCCCGAATGCGGCTGCTCAGAGCCCCTGGGGAACCTGCCCATGTCACACAGGCGCCTGCCTGGGAGCAGTTCAGAGCTGAGCTCTCTTGGAAACGTGGCCCTAGGCCTTTATGGGCCCTGGTGCCTGCAAGAGGCTGCGTTGCTGTGAAGGGCAGTTGGGGGCTTCCGACAAGGGCTGACTTGACTCGGGGCTCACACCACATAGCGCCGATGGAAGCTCTGGCTGGGTCTGGGCTGTGACATGGCGAAGGGGCTGTAACTTGCCTCTGGCTAGGATGGCTGCAGCGGCGGACACAGCCCAAAGAGCAGCCGCGCTGGGGAGGAAGTAGGTGAGAGCAGGGCTGGCGGGGGAGTCACTCACTGAGCACCTGCATTCGGTGGTGGCCGCTGATAACCTGCCAGTGAGAGGTAAAGCTCCCCCCTCCCTGCCAGAAACTCCCCTAAGGGAAACAGCAGCCGCCTCACCTACCCTCACTTGGGGTGAGTCGTCCCCCCCCCCCAGCCCCCGGAATGCAAAGGGCCTTGAGGCACAGGCAGGTGCAATTTACACTCAGGGGAGGGGTGGGGGGGAGATTTTCACAACCACAGGGGATTTAGGATCAATGGGGCTTGTGCTCCTGAATCCCTTAGGAGCTTTAGAAAATCTCCCCCTCCCTGCATCAGTTGCACCCAATCTGGCCCCAGGTGTTTCCCTTCCATCCTTCACCCTCTCACTCTGGAACTTCACGGTGGTGAGCTGATGATGAAAACACCTGCACACTCCCAACAGTGCCCCACAGGAGAATTACAACTGGCGATCGGTTCCTACAGCTGTCAGTAAATAGAGCAGAACAGCAAACAAACGGGAACCTGGCAGTGGAGAAGTGACTGGGCAGGTCTCTGAATCTGTGTGGGCATCTCTACAGCCACAGCTGAGTTCCCCGTGGGAAAGTGATACTTTATCCCCCAAATCCCAGGAGCGAGGCCCTTTGATAGCAGCAGCTCCTCTGACTAATCAGCGCCATGAGCCAGGAAATACCAAGGGAGCAATACAACTGGGGTTGCAGTGAGTGAACCCCCTACCTGCGGAGTCCTGTGGAGTCGTTTCTGAGCCGTTCCAATCTCCCAGCTTCGCTAGCCCCCAGAGCCATTCTCTCTAGGCAGAGCTCCTGCTCCCAGTGACTGCGTCATTTTCCCAGGCTGTGACATCCATCCTGCCGGAGGGGTCAGGGAGCCGCAGAGATTAACTCCAGCCTGCCCCTGAGCTTTTCGTTAAGTTAATACATTTTATATTTAATGGAAGCACCGTCCTCTCTAGGCCCATCCAAAACCGAAAGAAGGACAGAGGCTGGAACGTGACTGTGACTGGCTCCTCCCCAGGACGGTTATGGCACAAAGTTCAAATTCCTCTGACACACCCACAGCGCTAGTGAGAGGGCAGCTTTGGTGCCAGCAGCCTCAGCTCTTAACTTCGACTGGTGACACAGTCAGTTCTGCAGGCTGTTTTCTTGTGCTCCAGGAGTTGCTGTAATTACCTCAGTCCTGTGTAAACAATGGGACCAAAGTCTGCTTCAGCAGCCACTAGACTCAGTGGCCAGGTTAATTTACTCTAGTGCCCTGGAATATTCCTCATTCCCAGCCCCACCCTCCAAACGCATGCAGGGCTTGTGGCTGAAAATGCTCATTGATGCAAAATTAACCAGTGACTATTTGGGGGATAGGATTTGTTGCTATACTCTCCAGGTGGCCCAGCCCCACTCTTTGGGCCTCAGCTCCTGCAATGTTGTTCAGACACCCTGGCTCAGACACTCCTCTCCTGGGCCCCAGCTGCTCTGCTCTTCTCCAAGACGCAGGTGCCAGCAAGCCAGGGAAACAAAAAAGCAAGATGGTGCCAGGCTGCGTGCAGCAAACCTGCTGAATTCTCTGGGATCTTGGAAAAATGCTAAATTCCATCACCAATGTTGTGATAATTGGGGTAAAAATGTCCCTGAATGGTGAGCTGAGCTGTGAGAAGTGAGCAAACATTAATAAAATATCACAATAGCCTGTAACAATAAATGCTGATAGGAAGAGCTGCAAACAGAGCCGGAGCTACCCCATTGGGGGCCCTAAGCAGGAATAGTGGGGGGTGGCCCTGACCCACCCCTGAGAATTCTAACTGCATTATTTCCACAAATCATGGACCCTGAGCTGCTCGGGGCCCTAAGTTACTGCTTAGTCTGCTTATGCCTAGTGCCAGCTCTGGTGGGAGACAGGCCGACTGAATCAATCCCAACAGACAGGCTCCTGGTTTAACTCCAGGACTGTGTTAAGATCATGCCTGGTAAACATAAGAAGTGTGAGATGGGAAATCAATGGACCACAATGGGTGTGTCTGAAATTAGGCCTAGCTGGTGAACAGAATACTGAGAAAATGGGCTATTCCACCCACCGCTCCCCCTTGGGGACCTCTACAAGAGAATTCTGGGGGGAAATTAGCTGCTGGCTGACTGGGAGACAGGTGAGCTGGAAAGAGCGAGCTTCACCATCATGGCTGCCACCCCCACCATCTCTTGGGACTTCAGAATCCACCATTACATGGTTGGGCCTTCATAGTCCTGATCCAGAGAGATGCGCTGACCAGACCGAGCCAGGGAGGGACCCAGGTGGCATCACCACCTCCACCAACTCCGGCTAAATCCCAGACACCACCTGGGATAAGAGACTTTGTCACATACACACCCCGTGTGTCCTTTTCCTTCCCTACCTACATTTCTCTGTCCTATCCCTCTCCTTTTGCCTTCTGTATATTAAGCCTGTGGCCAGAAAGAGGCAGCTACAAGCAATGCCCTAAGCAGCCCGATGCTGGTAAAAGTTTGCTCTGTCCTCGAGTGGCTGATCAGATCATGTGCTGTGATTCTCCAGCAGCGAGGCTACAAGTCAGAGTCAGACTCACAGACAGAAGGTGCATTTCCTCTCTTTGCTGTTTTTCTCTCTCCCCTCCTGGGCTTGTCTTGTTTGGTTGTCTAGGAAACAGGATCAGACTTTCACAGAAGTAATGGCAGCTCCAGCCCATCTCAACTAACTTCTTCCCTTTTACTCAAAAGAACAGCTATTACCATTTCTAATTTTCCCTCCTTTGACATTCACCCCTTCTTGTCAACTTTTGAGAATAGGCCACTTCCACCTGAATTGAATTGGCCTCTTTAGTGCTGACCCCCCCACCTGGTAAGGCAACTCCCATCTTTTCATGTGCTGTAATATTTATACTGCTTACCGTATTTTTCACTCCATGCATCTGATGAAGTGGGTTTAGCCCACAAAAGCTTATGCCCAAGTACATTTGTTAGTCTGTAAGGTGCCACAAGGGCTCGTTGTTGCTTTTGCTGATACAGACTAACACGGCCACCACTCTGAAACCATAAAGACTGACATACAGGGGGTTGCTTCCTTCTAAAATCTCTCTGCAGCTAAAGGAAACAAGGCATGTTATTAAAATGAGAGCCTGGCTCAATACTTTACATTTCAAATGTTTTAACTCTTTGTCCTTCTTT